CTGCTAAGYGTTAAAGGTGTCTTGTCAGCCGAAAATTACCAACAGTTCCCCCCCGCCAGTTAAAACCAACTTGGTATTCCCAAGAGAAGAATTTTCTCTGCAGTTCCTCCGGCCTACAACAAGCATCCTGGACTTCTCAGCTAAAGACTTCATTCTTCAGGAGTCAACTTGATCTCTCTGGRGAAAATCGAAGATGTGTTCTGGACTTTGCACATGGAAGTGCCTCTACTGGAGATTCTGGTGCCTAAACAAGAGTTTAAACAGAGCTCTACCTTCAAAACTGCAAGTGAGAAAGAAACTGAGGCATCTAGCAGAGGTAAAGCTATTTAAGCTGTTTATTGCACTGAAAACAAATGTACTGACACACTCAAATACGAATCACAGAATTTGTTAATAGGAAAAGAACATGAGCAGCCCATCCCGTGAGTCACGTGCTGATATTAAAATATGTTCTAGTAGCAAGTATGATTTTAGACATTAGTAGTGTACTTATACACTTGCACTATTCCCACACTCTAGTTAAAGGCCACAAAATGTCAATTGAAAACAAAAGAAAAAAACCCTGCCAYGCAGCTCATTAGGCATAAATGAGCAACTATACCCAACACATTCACAAAATTTTGCTGGCATTCTCTCCTCTCAGGATAAAATCATTCCCTGCTTCGATAGACATTTGAAAGAACAGACTGAGCAAAAAAGTCCAGACAACCAACATCCACATTCCACAAATTTCTCTGCCCCACTACACCCATCTGCTTTCCATCACGGCTTCAACTAAGATATTTTCACATAACTTTTCAGTGCTGCTTARTCTTCTAAGAGTTATTTCAGAAAATGTTCAAGTAGAAGTATTGTGGGAAACACTTCAATGAAAGGAAGCACAGACAAAATGACAGAAGAGTTATAGTTGTAGGACACATCCAATTGTCAACACAGAATGCTAAAACATTCAAACACAAGAGGGAATTAAGATGACAGCTTTGATGAAATGAATTTGCTGKTGAAAGCCTAACTACAGAGATGGTTACTAAGCTTATGTGCCAGTGAGAGACCAGCCATTAGAAAAGGCACTGTACAAGTCGAAACAAGCATGACCCATGGGGGCTACCAGGTCTCAAGTTCTTCCCCAAGAAAGTTCATCTGGACACAAGTTTTGCCAGCTCACATTTATTCACTGAGTCATTTTGAGCAGGATTAATTTCTTCTAATTAAAGTCTTAGCTATTTCAYTTACAGGAGAAAAGGAAACAAAAACTAAAGAACACAGGTTCTTTAGGCACCTACAAATTGTCTAGCCCAGTTTTCTACACTACCATCCGGAGCGTCTGGGTTCCCCCTCACCACCCGCTTCCTCCTCCCGGGGCACAGAAGGCTCCCAGGTGCCCAGCATTAGCTGTCAGTGCGACACCAGGGAGCTTGTGCACTCGCAGGCTCGACCTGGAAAGTGACTGAAAAAGAACCCACGACTTTCCAGTAGAAGTGTCTCACACACAGACACAACATGCTGCACWCCACTAAGTTTAACACTAATGTGAATCCAAAGTTACTTACACGAGTATCACTGTARCAAACATGTATCCTAACAAATACATTCACCTTGCATACTGGTATAAGATGCTCTCAGCTTTATGAATTTACTCTGAAAAACAGTAGAGAAAACACTGTCCCTACCTGAATTAGATGCTATTATCTAGTCTGCCCCTTTTACATTTATCTTCCTTTTCTTTTTTCTTTCTTTCTTTTTTTTTCTTCCCAGAAAACAGAATTTTTGAAACAAGCCAAAGGCAAGAAATCRGAAAGAATGAAACTGAAGTATTAGTAAAATAAATGAGTAGATAATCATTTTTTAAAACTTAATTTACATTGCCAGCACACTCTGGCAAATAAACAGGCTTATTTCCCAACAAGATTATCATATGYGGCACCTATGCCCCCCAAGAAAAGTTCTCAACTGCAAATCAAAATTCAAAGGAAACTTATCTTTCAAAGGATGAAACGGGTAGTCCATAATGGAAGCATAGCTAATGGAAGGAAAGCAAGGAAAAGGAAGGAATAGCAAGGAAAAAAAAACAAGCAAACAAAAAAATCCCACAGCTTCATACAAAACCAGAGAAATTTCATACAGAGAGGCTCCATTTYGCCAACATGGAAACAAAAGGGATCTTTCTCATTCCAGCCATTCTCCTACCATGTGTAAATAAAGCTCATGAAACCTCTCACAAACCAGTTTCAACTCAGCTATCTTCATTTCTACTCCCACTACTTCTACCAGGATGCTGTTTCAAATATCTCATTCAGACTGAAAATTAGTACRTAAACTATTCCAGTTGCTTCACACTCATTTGTTCTTGCATCAGTAGCTGACCTTTTCACCACATATTGCCCCAACTCTGATGGTTACTTTCTGACCCAGTTTATTTAGTTTATTATTAATTATTTAAAAGTTTATTTACAGAAGAGAGTTATATTCCCTCTTTGCCTTCCTACTGCAAAGGTAAACAGAGCCAGCTTTTAAAGCCTCGTTTCTTAAGCCTGCTCACCACTAGAGAATGAAAATCCTAAGTAAACCAATCAGAACAATAAATAAGGAGGACGTTCTCATTTTCTTAATCCATATTAGGGATGCTCTTAAACTTCAATATTACARAATTGAAAAAAGATTTAAATATTTTGTCAGCAAGTTGCCCACAGTAAAACGAATCCCTGTGTTCATCATTGGGCTGCACTAATTAAGCAGTTTTAACTGAAATGGTCAGAAAGTCAGCACCAGCTGTTTATCACTGCTGCCCTCCGAGCTGCAGGGTGCTCCAAGGACCTGCTCCGTTAAGACGTGATAATTGCCGAGTTCTTCTCCTGGTCCCGAGGAGGCCCAGAAGGGCTCCAGCAGAGACCGCCGCATTAATCAGCATTAACAGGGCACTTAATAAAGCCTTGATTCTAATAAAAGAACGACGATTCAGTCCAACATTTGTAGGTGCAAATTCCAAGAATTGCTTAAATTGATATCAAAGTTTAGCCTCAGCTCTTTGGGGAAATTCAAGAAAATTAATCATTTATCTGAATGAGCATTACGYACAAATAACAGGGAGCTTGTAAAAGTTGGATTAAACTCATGGTGGATCTTTTTTATGCCTCATGATTAATTCAGGATTCTGTGCACAAAATTATGCTATTGTACTATTGAGTATCAACTATAACCAGGTAGCCCATATGCTTAAAATTGTAAATTAAAAATATTTACCAGAATAAGAGCTTATTAGTGAATCACAAAAGCTTAATGATGTTTATTTTTCTTTTTCTTATTAAAAGAAAAAAAGATATAGGTCTATATCTAAAAACAATCTCTGGTCATTTTTCTCCTAATAATCCTAAAGACTGCCTATTAGAAAAGAATGATGGTGACAGAGTTTTAACCTGATCTATTTGATACAAACTCTGACAGAGTACCCCTCCCACAGCATATCTGACTACAGTTACAGTCATTTTTAGATACAAAAGATTCATGTAACATTTTGCAATTACAACTGCTGTCAGTGAGCAGTTGTRCTCTATGTACTCTAAAACTATGAGCTTTACTAGTGAAAAATGAAATAAATAAAAACTGAACACAACAGTTGCTGTAGCCCATGGCATTTTCTAGTTGCTAACTACTTATGTAGATCGTGTAGGCATCACACTGAGTAGCTGAGCAGCACAGACCAGGGGGAGCGCACACAAAACACGGGGCTTCATCTCCATGAAGCTGGCATTGCAAAGTACCACTAGGGTCAATAACTGCCCAGAAAACACATTCATATCATAAGAACTTCCCCGAGATCTAAAAGCACCTAATAACCACCCAGCACAGTGGGGAGGAGTTTTACTGACTGCTGCCACCATGACCAAACTAACATCAAACTTGCAGCATTTTCCCTCTAGCACAGATTGTCTAAGCATTCGAAACATCCTGGATGGGTCAGTCTTAATTACTGCCTATCAAGCTTATTATTATTATTATCCACATTTAAAGCAGATAGCTAAAAATAACCTCAGAAATGACAGTCGGAGAAATGGGCTAGGCTAGTTGAAACCTCTTCTGGAGGCACGCAGAGAGCTAGCAGCAGCAAGACAACAGACAGACAACTACGCACAAACTCTTCCCTGCTTATTTGCACTACATCYGAGATGCAGCTGGCAGCCTAGGGCTAGGCTACTCAGCCATGCTTTTCTGGAAGAAAAGTTTACCAGTAAGTTCTATGAAACACAACATTTCTCTCCCTCTTCCCTCCCACTAAGCAAAACACTCTATCAAGTATCAAGTTCTGTACAATCTGCAACCGATAACTAAGGCAACCCTCCAGTAACAGCACACTGTCCACTTGCAAAGCAAAGACTGCARTCACCAGGCTGTTTTTTTGGAAAGTCATTAACTGAGACACAAACACATGCACAGCACAAAGGTACGCTCACCACTTCACTGAGTAATTAAGTAATAAGGACCTTGAGAGGAGAGAAAAAAAMCCCAAAACTCACAACACATACACACAGGGTAGCACACTCCTATGCAGAGCAGAGCAGTTACAAAGGTATAAGGTGGMCAATGCTAAAAATTTAAGATTGAAGAGTCTCAAAGCACGCTGCTACTGACCCTTAGGGACACACATTTCATAGGAAGCAGACTGTCCTGGTAACTGCTTCCACCACAAAACTCGCTCCACAGTGCCTCAATGCTGACAGCAATGCATAAGACAAATATGTTAAATAGTAATTGTTATCTTACATCTTTTGAATTATAATCCATACTGTTTTGAAATTTAACATAGACTTCTCCCATACATCATTTTCTTTACTACGTATCAAGCCACTGTGTGCTACATGCATTGCTTCCTAAAGAAATGGGCGAAGTCCACATGAAATATCCAACTGTATGTAATGAAACATACTGAACATGTACATGAAATTGACACTGAGGGAAGACCACAATGACACAAAGCAACGTTTAGGGACGAAAGGGATACTTACATCTGGATATTCTTTTACAGGCACATATAGTTTCTCTTGTAACTGTACAATAGGTCCCACAGCATCTGGTAATTCTGCACTTCTCTTCTCCGTACTACCATTTAACGTGTCGTTGTACATGTCTTTACGTACTCTGCTAATTTGTGTGGGGCAAAAAAAAAAAAAAAAAAAAAGAGATCAGATATACACAGGAACAGTTTAATACCTTACTCTTTCTAATATCTCCCAAATCTTAACATCATTTTCTTCCATTCTTCATGCACATCATGGTAATAAAAACAAAATACTTATTCTGTTTATTCCATTGTGGGACTACCATAAGCAGTTTTCCCTGTTTTCAAATTCGCTACCTACTCACGCAGTTTATGAAAATCCACTATTCAAGTAAATACTATCTGCAACTCCTTCAAACAGTCAAAAATTCTTCATGTGGTTTAAGAGGMACATAAAAATGCAGTTAATTTAAGTATAACAAAGTTGCTAGAAAGAAAAAAAAAACTGTACCTAATATTTAAAAAAACAAATGTATACCTGTACACACATACACGCACACACATTTGCTAGCTACAAGATCAACCATCTCGAAAGGCAACGCTGCATCTTTCAGCAATGAGACACCTGACAGCTCAAAGGAGCAGCTATYGACTGCACAAGGTAACAACCAAAGAGTAAATACTATTTTAATGATTGTCTCTACTCTCATAATRAAAAAAGCACAATCATGACACCAGAGAACTCAGCCAGTTTTACTGAATAGCATTTTGTGTGTGTAAGCATGTATATTTTACAATGTATGCATATACACAGAAATATTCACATATACACACACATCCCTCAATAATTTTAGGCCCTCTGTAACTAGAGGCAGGGCACTGACGAGCAGGCGTGCTAGGCACCAGCTCAGCTCCAGAAGGGACTACTGGCTACAGGGAGCTAGCATCAGTGCCAAACTTGAATTCTCTCACGTAGACCAAGCCCTAGGAGAACCAGCCCAGCTCTACATCAACTCAAATACATGGCTAAAATCCATGGCTGCGATTTGTCAGCCAAGACCTGATACTACACTGCAGATGAACTGCAGCAATAACCACGTGAAAGTGCATGATAAACTAATAAGCTTGTGTCTACTAGTCCCTAAAAAGTCAGCTATGACTGAGAGCAGTCTGGCTGCAACCAAGATCACTAGTCTGTCAATGCTCTGTTTATAAAGAAATAGGGACGAGCATGACCTAGACAGCTCAGTTTCACTCCATCTCTTTCCAATGCCCCCGCCTGACAAGCCTTGCCCAGCAGGGAAGCGGCCAGGGGCGCAGCGGTGCTTCCTCCCCGCGCACTGCGAGCTGCAGAGATGCCGAGAGCTGCTGAACCAACTGACAGAAGCCTTCTTGGAAAGCGCCTGTGGTTGTCAGCTTAGAAAGGTGCAAGTTGCACTTGCTACTAAATATGCTGACAGAATTGCAACAATGAAGCACAACTGCACAGGACTTCCCGGCAAGGAAAATGTTCACTTCCACCTTCCCACATTCACCCCTGGAATCATCCAGGAACTTTTTCCAGGGCTTCCAACATTACACGGGAGTGTTGCACACTCCTCTTCACATGTCAGACCCTACACACACACACACACACACACACACACGGGAAGTTGTTTGCCCCAAGCTGCAGAAAGTCTGCAGTAACCAAATAATTAACCATACAAGGAAGCATTAAAGAACAGATATCAATGCAAGCCAAGAAAATCAATCATACAAATTATGAAAACATAACTAAACATTAGTTAAAATAACTTCTACATAACTACTCAATTTGGAAGAAAATATGACATGGCTGGATCTAAACAACCTTCTAGCCTTCAGATTTTTAGTTCATAAAAACTAAAACCAAGATCACTCTATAGACTTTTTCTTTTTTTTTTTTTTTTTTTTTTTTTTTTGAGTCAAATTATCAAAGTTAAAAAAAAGAAAGAAAAAAAGAAAAAGACCTTTCTTACAGACCTTTTCCCCTAGTTCACAGATTTTCCTACTACTTTATTGTAAAGTAGTATAGAAATCCTCAGCAATACCAGGGAGTGCTATAAACAGAATTGCAAACACAGTTTCTACAAATTACCTTGCATTATGTAGTTTGAGATACTACCTATCTCTATATATGGATATGGATATCTCCACATATGCATCTCCAATGCCTGGAGAAGTTATAAACACAGTAATTAAATACAGATTAAATGATTCAAATCCAATATATAAGTGTAATATAAGAATGGACAAAGTTTTCTCTTCTTCAGCCAAAACCCATATCAAGACCTTTATTTCATTTCTAAAATGGAAGTATTTAAATTACCACTATAATAGGAAAAAAAGTTCAACAAAATGCTAAGTTATTATAAAAAACTCTCAATTTATTCCAACATACATGGAATATTACTTTAAAATAACATATTACTAAAGTTCCGAACACAAAACTTCACCATTTCCACAGACTTTGTCACCAAAGCATCAACTTAAAGTTTTATGAGAGCATGGGCTGTAAATTAAAAACAGAAACTAATTCAGTCATTTATTTAGACTTGTTAGAACTACTCTCGAAATGTGCAAAATTAAAATGAAACTGACATATATATATATATTAATCTGACCACAGCAAGTTACACAAATGAGAAGTCACTTTAAACTCCAGTAACAAGCAAGAGATGAAAAGATTCTCTTGACTCATAATCACTTTTCTTTTTTCTGCAAAATCATTTATAGTTGAGATTTCCATCCCCTGAAAAGCTGGTGGATAGGAAGGCCTCGGATTTGATGAATGAGTTTTTGAAACAGAACAGACTTGGCTTTCAGCTGTCTTCTTCCAGATCAGTCTAATGGCCTTATTCTGTATATTCAAGAAGTTGTTTCTCCAACGGGAACTGACATACACAGTTTATGTAGGCTATAGAATAATTTAGTCACTAACACCTGCTTAGAATGAAGAACACAGATTTTGGTCATCATGCAATGCGAAGAGAGGAAAAAAAAAAAAAGGACACAGAAACAAAACAAGACCCCACACTTTTCTTCCATGCTGACTGTTTCGGCAATTGGCACAAGTAAGTCGTCTAAACTGCAAGCAACATTTATATTGGCTTCAATATCTAAAGAAATTCCTTAGCACATCTTTTTGAACAAATATTATTATCYTTTGGTGGACTATTTCCCTTTCATTTCTTCAGTTTTTCCATTAACTTCCATTCTGCTCAAACATACGCTACGTACTCTGCTGAAGTCCTGAAACGTAAATAAGATACAGTCACTTTTATTTATATTTGGCAGCTACAAGAGTTGCATTAAGAGTTTCATTTTCCAATTGCATCAGTCTTATATAAACACTAATGCTAGATGTCTTGGATTTCATAGGAAAGTAGAATTGTTTTAATCTTTCCTTGAAATTCCTTGCAGATGTGTGCATTATCACTTACTTCTCCTGAAGCGCTTCCTACAGCTTCTTCTGAGCCCTGACACTTTATTACTTGTCGCTGTTGTGGCGGGCTAATAATGACACCTGGTYGAAATAATCTCACAGACCCRCTGTAATCCCTGACAACTACTCTCTGCACAGACACTTTTGTAGAGATTCCGGAAGAAAGATTCAGAAGTGCTAGATGAAATCAAAGGAGTGTTTTTCCTATTTATTTTTCAATTGCTCATTGGGTCTTCAAAAACTTTTATAGAACAGACTCCAGGAGCTTCTCCCTTCACATACCTTGCATTTAGAAGAACAGAAGGACTATTCCTTGAACTATAAAATATTTATGTCAAATCCCAAGCTTTAGCACTCACTCTTGCTCCTGCCGACTTCCCTATCTCTCCATACTATTAGCTTTAGCTATGGGCAAAGCACAACCCAGCTTCCTCCTCGCCTTGTGAGTCCAGTCTATCACCTTTGCACTTGCACAAATCTTCCACTCTGTTCCACTTCTGAGCCATCTCTTCCACTTGTTGGTCACTTCCAAATTCCACTGAAAGTTTTTCCACATCTTCAAGCTCTTTTTCCTTTTATGGCTAACAGCAGTTTTCTCATGCACCTGTTCTTACTTAATTGTATCTCTTCTCTCAATAGCCTTCTTTACGTCCATACAAAAGTACTGGTTTTTTTTTTTTCTTATGTAGTCTTTCCTTTTAGTATCTTCATTAAGCCACATTCAAGCTTCTAGGCTTGGGTATCTAACTGCTAGTCAGTTCCAGCATTTACATGGATCTACAGAAGCATCTACTTTGGYCTTTTCTGTTCCGCTTTTTATTTTGGGTTTATTTCACATCATTTCTTAAACTCTATGATTCATAGATATTTTGTCTTCCCTTCTCAAAAGCCTCTTTGCCTTGTCTCATGAATCAACTTTCAGACCTCATCCAAGACTTCAGTTTCTTCACATTCATGTTTCTTTACTGGTTATTTCCATGCTTATACCTCACAGGAAGCCAACTGACTTAAAAATAAGGCAGGCTTTATTTTCAAAGTGAACATCTAAGCACAGTTCYAACCACTTTACATCTATCTTAACACTGTAGTGGTAATTAGGTTCGGTAACACTCCAGGGATTTTAAAAGAGAGTTACTAAAGAGAGATACTTAATTATAGAGCTGGTGTGGCTACAAGAGCAAAGCGGGCAGCAGCCTCGGCGAGGCTCCCGCCGCGCGCTCYGCACATCCGGCACGAGGCCCCTTCCCACAAACTGCTCAGGATCCACCCTCTGCCATCCTCAGCAGCGGCCGTGCGTGGAAATGACAAGTCCAAACTCCCTGCGCCTCACCTTGAGCAACAGCCTGCTCTGTTAACRTGACTTAAGCGTGGCAGTAAATGACAACCTGGGCTTTCTCACACAACGGGAGGAATAAACTCAAAAAGAAGACGAACGGGTTTCAACAGAAATATCAGCTTCCACCTTCAGATTATGTTACCTCGTTATCTTGGCTGGCCAGGGAACTTATTCTCATCCAGGAGAATATTTTTCTTCCTACATCCCTAGAAACTCAGCAAGTAACGTGTTTCCTTGAGCTACCAAGGGCCCGTTCCATCCCTAAGCATCTCCAAGACATGATCTGAGGAAGGACACTCTGGTTACACTGGTGTCTGCAATTTGGGCATTGCATTTAAACCAACGGGTTCT